CTTCTAGATTATCTAGTTTGTTGACATATAATTGTTCATATTAGTCTCATAATATTTTTTATTTCTGTGACATATTTATAATGTTTCCTCTTTCATTTCTGATGAAATGAGTCCTCTTTTTTTTCTTAATGTAGCTGAATGTTTGTGAATTTTGTTGATTTTTTTAAAAAAAATAATTCTTTCTCTCCTTCTGCTACCTTTTTTCTTCTTTTTCTGCTTCCTTAAAGTATAGAGTTAGGTTGTTTATTTAAGATCTTTACTCATTTTTGATGTAGGCATTTAGTGCTATAAAATTCTCTCTTAGTACTGCTTTTGCTGCCTTTCATAAGTTTTTTTGTGTTGTGTTCTCATTTGCCTCAAGACATTTTCTAATTTCCCTTTTGATTTCTTCTTGACTCATTGGTTGTTTAAGAATGTGTTATTTTTCCACTTATTTGTGAATTTTCTTGTTTTTCTTTTGTTATTGATTTCTACTTTCGTTCTATTTTGGTTGAAAAGGATACTTGTTATGATTTCAGTCTTTGTTATGATTTGTTTTGGGACATAACATGTAATCTGTCCTGGAGAATGTGCCATATGCACTTGAGAAGAACATGCTGCTGCTGTTGGGTAGAATATTCCGTATATGTTTGTTAGGACTGTTTGATCTATAGTGTTGTTCAAGTCTCTGTTTTCTTATTGATCTTCCATCTGGGTGTTTTATCCATTATTAAAAGTGAGTGTATTGAAATCTCCTACTACCATTGTGTTGCTGTCTGCTTCCCCGTTCATTTCTGTCTATGTTTGCTTCATATATTTGGGTGCTCTGATATTGAGTGCATGTATGTATTTATAATTGTTATATCTTTCCGGTGAACTAACTCTTTTATCATTATATATAGTAACCTTTGTCTCCTGTGACAGTTTTTTAACTTTGTTTCATTGATTTTGTAGTGACATGCTTTGACTTCTTACTCATTTTCTTTTGTGTATGGTCTGTGGGTATTTTTCTTATGGTTACCATGGGGCTTACATAAAACATCTTATAATTATGGTAATATCTTAAGATAACAATTACATAAAAAAACTTTAATCACATACATAAACTCTACTCTTTTACTTCTCCCTGCATATTATGTTACTGATGTCACAAATTACATCTTTTTTATAATAGTGTGTTCATTTGCATACTTTTATAATTGTAGTTATTTATTCTTTTGTCTTCTAACTCCAACCAGAATTACAAGTGATTTATACACCATTGCTACAGTATTACAGGATTCTGTATTTGTCTATATAAACCTTTACCAGCAAACTTTATACTTTCATCTTTCATGTTGCTGTCTAATGTCCTTTCATTTCGACTTGAAGGATTCCCTTTAGCACTTCTGGTAGGGCAGGTTTGGTGTTGACGAACTCATTCAGCTTCTGTTTATCTGGAAATATCTTTGTTTCTTACTCATTTTTGAAGGGTTTTTCTTTCAGCAGTTTGCATATGTCATCCCACACTTTTCAGGCTTGCAGGGTTTCTGCTGAGAAACCTGCTGAGAAATCTGCTGATAGTCTTGTGGGCACTCCTGTTAGAATCCCATAGTGCTAAATCAGTTTCTTTATCAAGGGTTTGAACTCTAAAGGAGAGAAGAAAAAGCATTGAGTTTTATGAACTGAGGTTTCAAAACAGTCATTTATGGGGTATTTATTAACTTATTTCAAATTTAAGGTAACATCCAAGTATTCATTCTCTTTTCTGCCTCTGGAGAGTAGAAGGTTCAAGAGCAGGATGGGGGCTGGCTGGTTAGCTCAACTGGTAAGAGGGCAGCTTTATAACCCCAAGGTTATAGGCCAACCACCAAAAGAAAAAAAAAAAGAGCTGGAGGATCAGGGCTGGTAATGACATCTCAAGTAAATAAATAAATATACACACACACACACATTATTTCATTAGGGAGACATCAGCCCATACTTTATGCAAAAAATATTTTCCACAAATATATTTCTATGTCTGTGTTTTAGTCTTTACATTTATTTGGGGACTTAATTTGTGCAGTTATGCCTCAAGAATTGTGTTAAGTCTAAGATTATTTACTGTAAATGTTTACCAGAAAAAAAAAAAGTTTACCACTTTATTTCTGAACTGGCCAGAGAAAAAGACACACCCTTACATACATCTTTAGGGCCAAGGCTCATAACGAACTGTAGTCTTGGGCATAAATACAGTACTTTATTTCTCTCCTGACAACATAATTAAAACATTTGTTTAGAAGCCACACAACTAAATACACTCTTTTATTAAATGCCACTAAATGTACTGATAGTGCTTCCTGGGACTAAGAATCTGTCAGAATGTCTTGCTAGAAATCTTCCCAGGGCATAATTCATTGAAACCAGTGCAAGGCAATCTAAGATAACCTTTTGTTTTTAATTAAAATGGCTAATAAGAAGCCAATTCAAAATTTGTCTCCCTTCATTTGCCCGAGGTGAGAGTGATAGAATTTCTGTTCCAGTGAAGCCCCAGCTCTTGTTAAAAACACCATAAATTCTGGCTGTGTGTTGTGAGGCTGTAGCCACTATATGCATAGCTCTGCATGCTGCCATGCTGTATCATGGTCAGGATTATTAATGAATTAATGTTTAACTGTCACTTTTTTGGCAGTAGGGTTAAGAGGATATTTTTTCTTTCCCAAAAGTGAATTAAAGTAGATGTCTTCAAAGTTTAGAAGGAACAGGCTTTCTAAGAACAGATAGAGGAAATTAACAAATATTGGACAAGAAACCTTTGAAGTGCAGCACATAGAAAATAAACTTATTTGGCACTACATTTTGTGCTATCAAGTTAAACCTTGCTCATAGTACATATTCAGTAAATGACTTTTAATTGAATTTTTAAAAATAGTTTTATTAAGATATAATTCACATATCATACAATTTACCCGTTCAAAGTTTACAATTCAAAGGCTTTTAGTGTATTTAGAGTTATACATATATTACTACAGTCAATTCGAGACCATTTTTATCACCACCAAAAGAAACCCCATACCCATTAGCAGTTACTCCCCATTTTACCCTCCCTGACACCCCCTCCCCTCAACCCCAGTTCTAGATGATCACCGATCTACTTCCTGTCTGTATAGATTTGCCTATTCTGGGCATTCCATTTATATAAATGTGATCATACAATACTTGGTCTTTTGTGACTGTCTTTTTCACTAAGCATAATGGTTTCAAGGTTCATCCATGTTGTAGCATGTATCAGTATTTGATTTCTTTTTATGGCTGAATAATATTCCATTGTAGGGCTATATTACATTTTATTTATCCATTCATTAGTTGATGGACATTTAGCTTGTTTCTACCTTTAGGCCATTGTGAATAATGCTGCTGTGAACATTCATTTACAAGTTTTTGTGTGGACATATGTTTTCTTTTCTCTTGGATAGATACCTAGGAAAAAAATTGCTAGATCATATGATAATTCTGATTTTAACCATTTGAACAACTGCCATACTGTTTTCCAAAGGCTTTCTTCTACCTTATATTCCCATCAACAATGTATGAGGGTTCTAATTTCTTCACATCATTGGCAACACTTGTTATTGTTTGTCTTGTTGATTATGGCCTTCTCCTTGGGTGTGAAGTGGTATCTCATGTGGCTTTGATTTGCATTATGTCATGGCTAAGGATGTTGAGCATACTTTCTGGTCTTTATTGACCATTTGTTTATCTTTGGAGAAATGTGTATTCAGATCCTTTGCCCTTTTTAAATTGGGTTATTTGTCTTTTTATTATTTAGTTGTAAGAGTTCTTTATATATTCTGGATACAAGTTTCTTATTGGATAAATGGTTTGCAAATAGTTTCTCCCATTCTGTGGTTTATCTTTTCACTTTCTTTCTGGTGTAAATTGGTGAATTATTTTGTTGTTGTTGTTGTTGTTTGTGTTTTGGGTGTCATATCTAAGAAGGCTTTGCCTAACCCAGTGTCACAAAGATTTACTTCTATATTTTCTTTAAGAATTTTATAGTTTTAGATATTACATTTAGGTTTAAAATTCATTTTGAGTTAATTTTTACATGTGGCATGAGAAGGGGGTCCAGCTTCATTCTTTTGCATATGGGTAGCCAATTCTTGAAATCCAGTATTGTTTCTTAAAGAGATTCTTCTTTCCCCATTGTTTTTTCTTGGCATCCTTGTCAAAAATCAATTTAGTATAAATGTAAGCGTTTATTTCTGGACTCCGAATTCTATTTCATCTATTATATCTATCATTATGTTATATCAGTGCCACTCTGTTTTGATTACTGTGGCTTTTGAGTAAATTCGGAATTGGAAAGTTTGAGTTCTCAAACATTGTTCTTCTTTTTTTCAAGATTGTTTTGGCTATTCAGAGTTCCTTGCTTTTATATATGAATTTTAGGGGTATCCTCTCAATTTTTGCAAAGAAGCCAGCTGGGAATTTGATAGGGATTCCACTGAATTTGTAGATCAGTTTGGGAAATGTTGCCATCTTAACAATATTGAGTCTTCTGATCTACAAATAAATTCCTTTTCTCACTTTATTGTGTTATGCATATATGTATAGAGATTGAAATGGGGACCAGGAGGGAAATTTTTGTCCATTGAGTTCCTTTACTGTACACCGATTTTAATTATTTCATATTGGAATAACCTAATTGAATATTTCACTATCTGGTGTTATTTTACTGTTTATATATTTCAAGAGGTGGTTGTTCATTAGAGCTGTAAACTTCTTTGGGACAGGATATATCTTAACTACTTCTATATTGCTTAGAGTTAATGACGTAGCTGTTTAAGAAAAACACTTTTTGACTGGTGTTTGGCAGCTAATTATAAAAGAGGTGGAATATTAGTGACACCATGAAATTACCACTAGTAACAAATAGCTAACGGACAATTCTGTCTTTGAATTCATTTATATTCGTATTATTCCTTTGAAGAAAAAAAGAAAATATTCCTTCATAGATTGCTTTCTTTTAGAATAAGACATCTTTAAATTCATTTTAGGTACCAAATATGATTCCAGTTTTGATGTTCAAATTGGGAAGACCACTGGAACCTGTATTATACAATGATATATTGTATACTTTACCTATGCTTGGTGTTCACAAGGTTAGTATATTAACTAGTTTATGGGGTGGGGGAGAAAGTGAGACATGAATAATACATTGAATTTCATTTGATATTATGAAACTTTGAGCCCTAAGTTTTGCCATGATCACTACTTCTCTTGTTGGGCCATGTTTTACAGGAGGTAATGTCTAAAGCCAAAACTATTTATTACAGTATTTAAGAATTAATTCTTTTAAATCATTCAGTATCCAAGTTTTCACATTGGGCATCTTTTGAGATTAGGTCCCTATGCCTCCAGGAAGGCTAGCTAACCTCTCCCAAAGCTATCTCCCATCCTCTGAGAAAATAGAGGCTTACTGTAGTAAGCTCCCATCCTCTGAGAAATAGAGCTTACTGTATTAAGCTTCTGTTTCAATCTTTATTTTATAATGAGGGGTTTAATAATGCTTTTGATAACCTCAAAGGTGTCTACATTTACATTTATGAAACCAGCATTTCTTCAATATTTCCTAGGTGTGCATAGGACAGATTCTACGAGTAATCCAACTGCTTGGAACTACCCCACAACTAAGAGCTGTCACTTTGCGCTTGTTGACATCTTTGTGGGAGAAGCAGGTACGCTCAAATATACACTTGTATGAGTATTAAACATATTCCTTTCACTGAAAAAAAATTATGTTATTATGTATAATAGTGCTTTGATTTAGTGGTATTAATGAGTAGCATCAATGATTACATTGAGAAATTTTGATTTATTGTGATGCTTTTGATATGTAATGCAGTCAATTGTGATTGATTCTTGGAAAAACCAAGAATATAAAATAATCTAATTTTCTTATTTCTAAAATTTATCTTTCCATTTGTATGAAAAAGGAATAGAAATATGGTTATAAGTGATTAGAGCCTTTGTAATTAGGGTGAGATTTAGCCACTTTCTTTTTGTTTTATGACGTGAACAGTACATGGGTCTGTAAGAAAATATCAAGTAATCACAACAGCATTCTTGTCTGCTGATTTGAAGAAATACATTATAATTTGCAATGCAAATGTAAGATTTAGCAGTGAAAATGCTGCTTAAAAGAAAATAATGATTATTCTAACTCAAGTCAGGAAATTACCTTTTTTGAAATTGCCCTCTTAGGATCGCATCTATCCTGAACTGCAGCGTTTCATGGCCATGTCTGATGTGCCCTCTATCTCTGTGGGCAAGGAGGTCCAGTGGGAGAAACTGATTGCTAAAGCAGCCTCAATCAGAGATATTTGCAAGCAAAGGTTAGATGTGCTTAACTCTTGAGAATGTATATCATGATATATTATTTTATACTTAATTGTTTTTATTGCAAACAAGATGCCAGGAAAGGTAGGCAGAGGATATATGAGTAAGAATAAATTATTTTTTAACTTAAATTTTCTGATCGTAAAATTTAGTAACATTGGACAATAACTTTGAGAAGCATGTCTTTCCATTTCAATTCTTATATCCAGGTTCCTAGAATATTTATATCCTTTTCTGGATAATAACTTAATAGTGCAGTAAAATACATGCTACTATGTTTTCTATTTTTCTTTATGTAAATATCTGAAAATTAAACAGTGGACTGTACTCATAAACTGTTACCTTCTCCCTATGTTATGCCTGATTCTTATAAGTAGATTTAATAGGGAAAGCCTAATCTGTGACTCATTGCTTGTAATTATAGGAATTATAACAAGGAAGGAAATGATAATGAATTTTCATAACCTAAGCTTTTAGGAAAACATGAAGATATTAGTGAAATGACTCTGCTGGATTAATAAATAGGATGGAGGTGACAAAACTGAAATAACACAAGCAAAGTTCTACCTTGTCAGAATTTTTTTCTTTCATGGAGGAAGGTAAAAATGCTTATGGAGGAAATAGATTTGATGCATTTGAACTCAACTGTAATCCTGAAGTTTCATATGTTGATCAGATCATTGCACAACAGTGTAAATGGTACTTCCTGATGTCGTGTAATGGATTGGCCCAGATGTTGATAACATGTATGATTCCTGTTTAAAGTAAAATCTTGGTTCAGAGTGTATAAGAATCTAAGCCTCAGCAGTTTTGCCTCTTTTCTAAGCTTCCATCTTTCAGCAACACAAAAATGACCTCAGTCTAAAAGTTACCAAAAAAAAAAAATTTTATTTTTTACACATGTATAACCTGGGAGCTGGTTTTTTTTTTTTTTTTTCCTTTTTGTCTTTTTTTCGTGTCCGGCAACGGACTGCAACCCTCAGTGTCGCGCCCGTACCGGACCGGGACCGGCAACGGGATTGCAACCCTTGGTGCTGCGCCCGCCCCTCGCTCAGCCAGTGAGCGGGAACTGGTCTGTATGTGGGATCCGAACCCTCGGCGGGAGCGCTGCCGCGCTTCCCAAGCGGCGCACTGTAGCAGTGCGCCACCGGGCCGGCCCTTGGGAGCTGGTTTTTATTGAGGTATTGGCATGGAAAAAGATTTCAGAGATGAATTCTTATTAGCTGACATTTTATATACTTAAAGCTGAGGCTCAGGAGAGGTTGAATATCAGACCAGCTCAGAGTCTATTGAAAACTCATTCAGTACTCCTTTTGGTTACTACCTCAGGATCTTTCAAATTTTTCCAGTTTTAGAAAGTTATTTTTATTCGTGGGACAGTGAAAGAATAGAATCCTGTTAGACAGTTTTATCAATTGACATTTTGTTAATTAGAGGAAACTATTATATCATTGAGGGGTAGTAAGGAATTCAGGGAATGGGCCTGCATAACTATGCAGTTGAAGATATTCTGGGGATAACACAATATATGTGGATTAGAGAGGAAAGGAAGGAGAGAAGGATGAGTGAATGAATCTAACAAAGTGCCTGGCATGAGGTAGTAGTTATAATTTGTGTTGTTATTATTTTTATCATAATCATCGTCATCATCACTATTGTGAGACGTTTAACCACCTTATTATGGCAACTACTCTAAGTCATCTTCTGATATCAAATCTTGGCTTTCATAGTCAGTATCTGTTACCAGAGTAAGCACCAGTCAGTCATGAACATAGCTCTGTCTTTACTGATTATCAAAATAAATCAGTTCCTTTCACCATTATTATAGACGTGAATTTTTCTCAATTCAGATAAATAAAATTTGTTAATAAGTGTCTTCTTTTTAAGATAATATTTCTATGTAAAAAATGAGCATAAAGTATTAGCAGAAATGATCATGATGCAAATTGTTGAAGAAAAACATATGATGTTAGTATTTGAGGGTCAGCATTTAGTGGGCACAGGGATAAAGAAAAGCATTAATGCTTTTTGTTCAGGCCAAAGACCTAGAAGTGGTATTAGCTCCTTGGCTTTAATTTTGTTTTAAAACTGTCATTTCTTGTAGGCCATATCAGCATGGTGCTGATATGTTGGCAGCTATTTCTCAGGTGTTGAATGAATGCACCAAGCCTGATCAAGCTACTCCAGCAGCCTTGGTGTTACAAGGTCTTCATGCACTCTGCCAAGCTGAGGTAGGCATTTTTGAATTGTTTTGAATAATTTTGAAGAAAATATTTTACAAGGCAGTGTGGCTAAAAGGATCTAAGATTGGATTCAAGTAACTGAAAGTTGAATATTCAGTCCCAGAGAATTTGCTTAGAAGAGTGAAGCAAGACCTATTTTACAATTCTTTCTAGAAGAGAATCTTGAACCATCTTACCTTGTAGACATTCTCTAGAGGTTAAAGAAATCCAGACTTTATGTTTTTCCTTGTTCTTTATTTTTGTTAAGATAAAAGGGAAAGTTATGCTTATAGGCGAACTTGTGAATTTATTTGCTTCTTAGTTTTGTGATTAGAAAGCCTTAGAATCAGGCGAGGTGAATAAATTTACATGGGCCAGTGACACTTGCATAGCTAACAAAAATTATTATTGGCTTGAAGACTGGGAAAGGATCTTCTCCATCCTAGTGATTAGATTGGGTAGGATGGGTCAATGTTAGGACTAAACTTGTAAATCACTTTCTGAACTTTAGAATGCCCCCCAAATTACAAGACAGCAGAGAGAATCTTTATTGTTTTGAAGAAATGTGATAATTACATCAAAGATCATTCACTGATCTAACCAAAATTTTTGACCCAGTGAACGTACATACATAATGGTTGTTTTTTAGTGAATGAGACTAAGTAGAATCTCTTAAGATTATGTCTAATTGTGGTTGAAGATGATAATGAATATAATGGTATAATAATACCAGTAACAAACATATTGGGTGTCTGTATGTTCATGTCCCTGTGCTAAAGCACTTTATATGTATGTTTCTCAACAGCTCTACAATATAGGGATTAACACCATTTTACGGATGAGGAAAATAGACCTCAGAGAGAGGTTAGGTATTTACTCAAGACCTTGATATGAGAATAAACTTATGTTCTTTTGGGTGATCACTTATTTCAGCAAGCAGTGAACCCATTGCTGTTCAGAAACTGATGCGTGCTAAGGATAGTGCTTTCAAATCATGTGCAAGGTAGTAGGAAAATTGTTAGAACTTCATGGCAGAGGACTATTACAGCAGGGGAATACTACATGTCCTACATCTAAGGACTTTTGTTTTTTATTGCTTCTATCAATCACCTGGGATTGGGAAGTATCACTTTAATAATTATATTACTTTTATAGTAAACAGTCCGAAACCTTATTTTTAAACCAGTTTTTAACAGATACTTTGAAGAGAAAGAATTCTATACACTTCTACCTCTAAAAGGTGACCATCATTACCATTTTGCAGTGTTTCCTTTTCTTTTGTTTTTTTTTTAAACAGGCATCAAGTCATTTCTGAAATTAGCTTTTTTTCTGTAGTTTTCTCCATGCATCCTCTGCTGTTACTATAAAGCTCTATATCTATCAGTGCTTCTTAACTCATAAAAAAATGCCCTGAGTACTGACTTTTCTCATTTCATTTCTCTAAGTCATCATCATTAACTGTAGTTAGTACTGGAGATATAAAAAAATGTTGCCTGATGTGGTAGAAAGCATTTTTGGTATTATGCAGTCTTGGGACTGTACCTGATGACTGACTGTACCTATGTAGTTGATAGCTTTGTGTGTCCTTTGACTGATTTACTTGACCTCTCTGAGCCTCTGTTTCTTCAAATGAGTATAAAATGAGATTACACACAAAAAAACTCCTATCATAATGTCTGCCCACACAGGTGCTCCCTAAATGTTGTACTTTCTTCTGACAAATTGGTACCCAGTTGGATACGATCACTTCCATTATGGGGGCTCTAAATAATTCTTTGATCTTTCCCCTGAAACTCACCTAATTTATGCTAGTGACTTAATTTCTTCTTTCATGTGGTATCTATCCCCTCACTACTGAAGCTATTGCTACTTCTTTGTATACCTGAAGGAGAACATTTGGGATTGTTGAATACTTAGCCCCAAATCCACTCCCCCAATCCAAACTACTACCTAGAAAGATAATTTTGAGCCCATTATTACATTGTACTAACTAGTTTCTCACATTCCTTTGTCCTCTTGAGTAGTTGAGGCATCATGTGTAAGCATTTTATTTAAACCTATCTCTTAAGTTTGATACCTCAATACTTCCTTTGCTTGGGTAAAGGCATTTCTCTTTCCTATTGTGTTCCTCCCACCCACTTGTTCTCTTTTAACGTTATGAAATCCAAGTTCAATATAATATTTTTTTATCCAAACTCACTCTTCAGAAGCATCAACTGATTTTTTTCTTTATGTTTGGTAATGAATAGCTTTATGTTCATCTAAGTAAAAATAATCTATTTCCATTTGATGGGCCTTACACTTTGTTTAGTGTAAGGCTTTCCAAGCTGCGTGTGTGTGTATGTGTGTGTGTGTGTTTGTGTTCATTATTTGTGAAGCTGCTGCTGCTATATCCTGTAATGTGTGTTAAAGTTGTAAAATATATTCAATTCAGTGGTTCTTGCCAGGCCACATTTACTAATTTTGGGCTAATTTTTAAATTTTTTTAATTGACAACATGCTATCTCCGTAAGTCAGTAGGCATTCTCTGAGGCAATTTCTTTTGTCTTTTAATTTATCATGTGTGAAGCATTAATGCAGCAAAGAGTGTCAAGAATGAAAATATTCAGCATAGTCATAAACATATTTACCAGTGGCATTTGGTAGTGATTTGTCTATCCATTACTCTTTAGATTCTTGACTATTAAATGTAATTAGGGGTACAGAAAAACAGCCCAAAGAAATGAAATAAAACAAATTAATGAGGATAAGAGAAAAAATTGAAAATCCTCTCTTTAAGAATATATTTCAGTTTGAAGACCATTCAGAATTGGATTTTGCAGGTCTTTCCTTTGCCTTTGTATGATAAGTAGTGTTTTTTTCCCTTAAGGTTGACAATTCTTCAGTTTTGAAAGTCATAATCATGAAATTCATTTGTTTTTGCTTGGGTCAGATTATAATTATTACTGCCTAATCATTTATTCTGGCCACCAATGAGAGACTGAAAGAATAGATTCTGTCTAACTGCCAACTCTGTCAAGGTAAAGATTGTTTCCAGTATGGGTTTCTTTGATGCTCCTTTGCTAAACAAAACACAAAGAGAGAAGGTTCTAGGAATCTTGGCTGACCATAAAGATGAGTATAAATTTCTCTTTTCCAATTCCAAACTCTCTTTTCTTGACACTATTGATATATTGATTGGGACTTCACAGGTTTCTTTGTAGGGCTGAATAACTTTTAAAAAATGACAGCTAATATTTCTTGGGGACCTAGTGCGAATTTGGACATCTTGTGATATAGGGATTATAAGACTTATTTTATAGTGAAGAAATAGAGGCTCTGGCAATTTAAATAACTTCCCCAAGGTCACATGGCTCACAAAAGTAAATCCAATACTCTCTCTGAGTCTAATGCTCTTTTGCTTCCTTCCTTTGGAAAGTGTAGGCATTGAAAGTAGTTTTATTTATCTTCAAGCCAAAGGTTTGTCATTTTCAAAGGAAAATAATTTATCTTCAATCCAAAGCTTTGCCGTTTTCAAAGGAAAATATTTCTGCATTATCTTTTCCTTTTCCATCCAACATTCTCATCTCATCACTTTTTGCCCTACCTTACCCCTATTTACCCTAATTTTCTTACTTCTTTCTGAGTTAATGCAGAGTAATGGCTCTAAGAAGCAATATTCTCTCTTTTTTATAAAGCAGTTTTATTGAGATATAATTGACATACCATATAATTTCTCCATTTAATGTTAGTAATTCAGTGTTTTTAAGTATATTCACAATGTTATGCTGCCATCACCACAATCAATTTTAGACCATTTTCTTCACCTTGCTCAAAAACTTCTCAACCCCCAAATCCCTATATTCCACAATCCCCCTAGCCTTAGGTAACCGTTAATGTACTTTCCGTCTCTATGGATCTGCTTTTTCTGAACATTTCATATAAACAGAATCATATGATTGATGTCTTTTGTGACTGGCTGTTTTCAGGGTTCATCCGTGTTATAGCATATGTCAGTACTTCATGTCTTTTTATGGTTTAATAATATCCTGTATGGCTTTACCACATTTTATGTATCCACTTATCATTTGATGGACACTTGCTATCGACTGATGAATGGATAAAGAAAATGTGGTGTATATATACAATAGAATATTATTCAGCCTTAAAAAAGGAGACCTTGCCATTTACCCCAACATGGATAGACCTCATGGACATAATGTTAAGTGAAATAAACCAGACCCAGAAAGAAAAATATTGCATAATCTCACTTTTATGTGGAATATATATATAAATAGCTCAGACAGACAAATAAAGAATAAAACAGTGGTTACCATGGCAGGGGGAGGGTAAGGAAAGTGGGGAGACATAGGTCAAAGGATACAAAATAGCAGGTAGGATGAATAAATAGGATGAAAAATAGCAGTAAGATGAATAAGTTTAGAGATCTAATGGACAACATGAGGGCTAAAGTTAATAATAGTGTATAGTATTAGGGATTTTCATTAAATAAGTACATTTTAGCTGCCTGTGTCACACAAAAGTACTTATGTGAGATAGTAGATATGTTAATTTACTTCACTATAGTAACCATTTTGCTATTTATATGTACCCCATAACATCATGTAGTAAACCACAGATATGCAGAATAAAACGTATTTTAAAAACATCGATGGACAGTGGATTGTTTCTATTTTCTGGCTATTATGAATAATGCTGCTATGAATATTTGTGTCCATACTTTTGTGTGGACGTATATTTTCATTTTTGGAGGTATATCCCTAGGAGTGGAATTGCTGGATTAACCATATGAGGAACTGCCAGATGTTTTTCCAAAGTGGCTGGGCCATTTTATAATTGCTCCAGGAGCAGTGTATGAAGGTTCTAATTTTTCCACATCTTCACCAACACTTGTTATTTTATTTTATTTTATAACTGTACCCACCCTAGTGAATGTGAAATGATATCTGATGTGGTTTTTATTTGTATTTCCCTGATGACTAATGATATTGAACATCTTTTCCTGTTTT